TTGCAGTATATTGCATTATTTAAGTATTAAGAAGTGTAAAATCAAACTAATACTAAATTATAAATAAAATTATGAAATAAAATACTATAGGTGTTTATGTGAGTAATTAATTAGCCTAGATAAATATAAATTACATTTACATTATATATCTGAATTACTCTAAAAAGGATTATAGTTATTGCTAGTTTTTTGAATGAAATGGGCTAATCTGTATCGAGCCTTTTACTTATTATAGATCAACTAATATTTTTCTAACGTTTTTTTTATTTTTTTGTAATTACTTTAATAAACAAATCTTTTTAGTTCAAAATTTTTTTTTCAAAAGTTAACAAAGAAAATCATTGTAGAAAAGTCTAAAAAAGTGTCTATTTTTTTAAAGACAACGAGATCAAAAAAAACAAACATAGGTCTTATTTTACAAACTAGAAATAACTCTTAAGAACCAAAGAGAGCTGTTTACTACATATCTTTGCAAAAAAATTAACAAATGACTTCTATCATTAGATGGTAATAACTCTTAAGAACCAAAAATAGTGGTTTACTGCATATCTTTGTTCTGAATGTGGACTTGAAGAGTGTGATTACTTTATTACCCTGACTACTTAACTCTTGGTTCACTATTTTATTCCTTATATTTTTGTAATATATTAGTTATTAAATCTTTTTTATATTTTAATCTTAATATTTTTAACTTAATTTTATCATCTAGTCTTTTAATTTTTTAACAATTGAATTACTAAATTATTAAATCCATCATATAATCTAACTATTAAATTGTTAAGTTGTATATATATATATTATTTTGTAGTAATTTAATAATGTAATAATAATAAAGAAATATATAAAATAATAAAACTGCTTTTTGCATGTTTTTTATATCATTAAAACAAAATCTTATGGTTTTTTCGTAAAAAAGCAAAACAAGGTGAATGTTGTTTTGCATAAATTCTATGTATTATTTATTTTACTCAAAATTTACTAAATCTAAAGTTATTAAATTCATTTAAAAGTATTGTAAAGACATTCTAATTTCACTACCAACAAGTTACAAAACAGTTTTGTGTAAAAGATCTACTTTCTAAGCTGCTCAACTCCAATGTTGTTTACAAAGTTTCTTGTGTTGGATGTAATGCCAGTTAAATTGGAGAAACCTCCAGACACTTAAAAATAAGGATTCCTGAGCAAATTACAAGTGACAAACAATCAAATGTTATAAACATTTAATTTTATCTGTTAATTGTAAAAATCAAAGTAACTGTTTGTTATTTTTACTTTGGATACTGCTCCTAACAAAAACAAATTGAAAAATCAAGAAGCACTCAATATAAAATGGGAAAACCCATCTTTAAATAAACATTTAAAGTAAATTTGTCAATCGACTTTTTTTTATTTACTTAAAAATGATGAATTGTTTTGTTAATTTCGAACTTTTTTATGACCAGATACATAAAAACTTCAATTAATAAGTTATTAACTATCTATTATATTGCAGTTATGTTTTATTTATTTTTTTCCTTTATGAATATTAAATAATAAAAATAGGTATGTTTCATTATCCTTTTATTAATTTCAAGTTGTATTTATATTAGTATAATAAAAGTAAAATGATAAATTATATATAATAAAAATAGAGTAAAATAAAATAATTTCATAAATCAAATTTTAATTATAGGATAGAAATAAAAGTCGGGTTTTGTTGTTAAATTGTTGAGTTATTTTGTTTGTAAGTTTCACGGTCGTTTACAAGCGCTATGTTTAGGTACGCATGCGTGAGAAAATGCGAAAAATATTTGAACTTTTAAAATGGCTACGGTTCTTAACTACAGATATATTTTATATGGCAACCGTGTTACTTGCTATTTGATCATTATAAACTCTATGTTGTAGCCTTATTTTTATCTAGATCAGTATATTATTACAAAATTTTCACAATATATATATATAAAAAAGATAAAAATATCTTAGAGTACTTAAACTTTATTTTCAATTAAAAACTTTTTTAGTGTAACTCTTAGATTTGTTTATTTATTTGAAATAATTGTTTTTTTTAACTTTGGATAAATATGTTCTATATTTATGATATTTAATTTTTTTATTTTTTATTATAGGCACTCAACGAGTGACTATTCCTTTTATTTAATTTTTTTTTTCTATTGAAACTAACCACCCTTTAAACTATCTTCAGATTTTTACATTTTTTGTTAAAATTTTCTGAAGATTCTTTTTTTTTTTTTTTTTTTTATTTCAAGGCTGCTGGTATATCCCAGCCAATTGATGCAAGATTAAAAGAAGAAATATTTACATCGTCTGAATTTATAAATAGTGTTGTTGAAATGCGTAGGAGATTAGAAATCATTGTGACAAGAGAATTTTTTTTTAAATAGTATATGTCCATCTAAATCAAATAAAAGGTTCTTCCCATCCGAAAAAACTATTCGTTCTTACGTGTTGGAAGCAATAAGAAAGGAAAGGTATTCAAATATTGACCAAGAATGTCTTATTAAAAAAGTAGAACAAAGGAAAGTTGAAAATCCTCACAGAAGATTTTATCTTCGACCTGAAGGGATAAGTGAAAATTGTATGTATTTAGTATTTTACTGTAATTTTTCTTTACTTAACTTCAATTTTTACCAAGATATACAAATTAAATGTGTTTAAATATTTTTTCCCTTGAGTTCCTTGTGCATGTTTAAATAATAAAACACTATATTTATTTTAAACACTATATTTAAAAAAGAAGCTTTTATAGATTTTTTTTGTTGTGCAGATTAGGGTGAATACTTAAAAAAAATTCAAATGCGCTATATAAATAACTGTTCTTTTATTTTGATAACATTTTATTTTCTACAAAAAAAAATGTATTTTAAATAAGGCTCCCAGATACTAGCTGTTTTTTTTGTTTTTTTTTTTAAATACAATACTTTATTTTCATGAATAATGTGTGAATATAATATACACATTATTCATGAAAATAAAGGATTATATTTAATGAATAGTAGTTACATGTTTATAATTCTTTAATACATGTTTAAAATTGTATAAGACTACTGTAGAACCTTGTTTATGCTTTTCATTAAATTAAAGTCTCGATTATAAATTATTGCATTACATTTCAAAATTTGAAATAATTGTTACTTTCAAAAAATCAGACTTCTAAATCTAGCACTAATTTTTTAACAAAACCTGAAAAAAGAATTTTTCATATTTTTTTTTATATTTTTTTTCATAGGGTTTATTATTTTTTTAAGTTTGGTTTCTTATAAGACCCAAGTTAACATAAATTTAAAGAATATTTTTTTTTTATATATAACATTTAACAAATCTAATTTTTAAGACTCTTGTTAGTGTAATAAATAAATATATATATATATATATATATATATATATATATATATATATATATATATATATATATATATATATATATATATATATATATATATATATATATATATATATATATATATATATATATTAATATATATATATTTATATATATATATATATATAAATATATATATATATATATATATATATATATATATATATATATATATGTATATATATATATATATATATGTATGTATATATATATTATATATATATATATTTATGTATATATACATATATATACATATATATATATATATATATATATATATATATATATATATATATATATATATACATATATATATATATATATATATATATATATATATATATATATATATATATATATATATATATATATATATATATATATATTTCTTTTTTTTTATATATATATGTATATATATATATATATATATATATATATATATATATATATATATATATATATATATATATATATATATGTATATATATATTCATACATGCACATACATTTAAATAAACATATATATATATATATATATATATATATATATATATATATATATATATATATATATATATATATATATATATATATATATATATATATATATATATATATATAGATGCAGTCAAAGTTGAATGCTCAGCTGTCGAAAGCACCGAAGATGAGGATGAGGTTGTTGTAGAAGCATTAAGCAATAGTTTTTTATTTGTTTATCAAACTGAAGAAATGCAGAGGTTGTTAAAAATATATGGCAATGAAATTACCCTTTTGGATGCCACTTACAAAACAACAAAATATTCTTTACCACTCTTTTTTCTTGTTGTAAAAACAAATGTCGATTATCAGATAGTAGGTACCTTTATTTGTGAAGGAGAGTCAACGAAAAATATTCAAAGTGGTCTTGCTAAAATAAAAGAAAGGAATCCTAATTGGAATCCTTTATATTTTATGGTTGATTGTTGTGCTGAAGAAATTAATGCTATTGAGTCTTTACATCAAGGTATTTCAAGATTTTAATAAGCTGCATATTTTATTCCCCTTCTCGGTATAGTTAAGGCAATTTACAAATTATTCTAATTCTTTTATTTGGTATAAGCATGGTTTTATCAGCGTATTATGTCCAAAAAAGAGCTTTAAATGAATGAATCTAAAGAACACCATTTTTGAATCTAAAGAACATCATTTTATCGTCTTTTGATCAACTCTGCTCATCAGGGTTAACATGAATTTAGTTGAAATCTCTTGAAAAAGTTCTTTAATTTACTATTGATCTTAGTTCTAAATGGTTCTGACTAGTGATTTGGTCTGTTATACGGTTTCAAAAACCGGATAACAGTTCTCATCAATTTGCGGTTAACCGACTATTTGGTAAATTAGTTACGCTTTCTGAATACAGGTCTTCTAAATTTCAACGAACGTAGCGTTTTAAACTAATTTTTTTTTAAATTAATGTTCAAGTGTACATTTTCAAGACAGTGAGTACAATATATATTTTTATATACAATTATATATTTATAACAAAACATGGAAAAAGATATATATATTTTTTATATTATAATATAATATACCTTTTTGATTATATAATTAAAAAAGGTAGGAATAATGTACAAGTAAAGTTTAAATGTTTTAATATCAGCGGATGTTTTAAAATCATTCTCTCATTTAAAAACATTTGATTTGGAAAAATGAGATGTTATGAAGTATATTTTTTTAGCGTGTATTTTAAAGACTCATTTTTATGCGGACATTAATGGAAACTTGAAGATAAACTTAAATGTTCTCAAAACAACTTTGTTGCGTAAAGATAATATAAAGAATATTTGCTAACACTAAAATACCGCCAAATCTACGAATAAACAAATTCTATTGGTTCAAAAAATACCCTGAGTAAGTAAATTAGAGTTCCATGATATTCTGAAGAAACTTTCTTAAAAATGTATTGCTTGAGTTGTAAAAGTAATAAGTAAATTTTTGAGATTTCTATTGTAAATTGTTTTAAGAATATATTATGAAACAAAACTGATTAAATTAACATTTAAGTTAATAAAAGATATTATTATATTCTTTGATAAATTAACATTTGTCAAACAATAATCGTCATAGTTACGATGTTACTTTATAAAATTTCGTAAAATTTTCAAGTCGGTTTTTATTATTCGAAAATCGATATTTGATATTTGAGCAAAATCCGGTTAACCGCAAAACCGGATAACCGGCAAAGTCACTAGTTCTGACGTATATTAACTATATATAATTGTCAAAACACAATATTTCTATCAATTTTCACAAAAAATACTAGAATTCTTACCATAAAAGAGCTTATAATTTATAAAAATTGGCAATAACCAATCAGAACAGATTATATTGTTAAACTATAATGTTCATTTCACCTAAAAAACGTATTTAAAACCTTTTTAAAGTTTCGACAAACGATTGTGAATTTAAGAAAATAAAAAAAAAAAATCTTCGTTCTAGGTTTTTTTGCTATAAACATTTATATTTTATGATACCGCAAAGTTTATTTTAGTTTTTTTCATCTTTTCACAATTCACTGACCTGATCATTTAACAAAAATATGTCGTAATCAATGAAATATCTTACAGACGCTATAATATTTTAAAATTGCTTTAATACACCAAGTTGCTGAATCATTTTATATTTGAGTGGTTTTATGTTTAAGTAAATCAAGTTTCAACTCGTATATCAAGTTTTTTAGAGTGCCAAGTTCTCATATGTGACTTTCATCGGGAACAAGCATGAAAACGTTGGTTTAATAAAGTAAATAATGGTGCCAGTGACATTAAAGTAGAAATGCTAGCCAAGTTAAGGAAAGTTGCCAGAGCTCAATCAAATGTTGATTTAGCAAAAGCTCTGGAAAACTTAAAAAAATGTGAACATTATTTAAATCCAAACCACAAAAATATGTTTAATTGGCTTGAAAAGCAATGGTTACCACATATTGAGGTTTTATTTTACTTTAAAATTTCTTTTCAAGCTCTACACTAAATTCATATATAATTTTGTACCATTTTATTTATAGAGGTGGGCATACTTGTAGCATAAAGACAGATTAATGGTCAATATCAATACTAACAATGGAGTTGAACGTCAAAATTAAACCTTCAAACATTCATATCTGAAAAAGCATAGTAACTCTTGTTTATCAACCATGCTTACTATTCTTATTGAAAACTACTTTCCAGATTTATATAATAGGTAGTTAGTATTTGATTTGATTTTTATAAGTAGAAAAGAATATTTAGTTATATAAAGTTAAAAAAGTTCAAATAATACAACTTATCTTAAATATACTTTAATGTACGTTTTGATAAAATGTCTACTCTAGTGATTTTCCGACATAAAAAATTTTTTTTTAATTTTATTAAAATTTTAAGTTTCGATTTAGGTAAACTACCATTAACAAAATTTAAAAGTGAACAAATATTGAATATTTTTCACTTAATTTGCTAAGTAACAAGTACTAGTCCTACACTATTTTTTGACACAACATATTAAAACATACACTTTCATTTAAGTATTGTGAAATTAATACAAGACAAAGTGGAAATTTCCGCCGATATAGTTCATACTTACCCACATTTTTGCATCATAGACCAACACACTGCAACATTTGCAAGCAATGTTAAACATTGCTTGCAAAAGATGTCTCTAGCTTCACATATTGATCTGTCTGGAGTTTTTGTAAAAGAGAAAGGAAAATTTGCATGTTCATCTTTTGCAAACTCTGCTGAGTTCCATCATATTTGCTTTGGCGATTCAGTCACTATGCCGAATTGCACTTGCCAAGATTGGAAAAAAACTGGGTATCTTTGCAAGCATTTCTTTTCAGTTTTTGATAAATTTCCCTCATTGTCTTGGTACAATTTATCCCAATTATACATTTACTTACTACTTACACCATTTTTGAACTTGGATAAAGAAATTTCTTTTGAAAGAAAATCTTTATTACCACAAAATGAACTGTTACTTACAAACAACAAAGTAGAAGACAGAGAAGCAGATTGTAGCATAAAAACATTCGATTTACTTCCCAAACAAAATAAGTGTCTAAACACTAAAGCATCCTTTTTTCGAGAACTAGCTAAACAGTGAATTAATGAATCATACCTTATTGAAAATGAAGAGAAATTAGATAATGGAATAGATATTCTAAAAAAAGTTAAAAAAATCATTTGATGATGCATTCCAAATGAACAAGGTATTCATTTGCAGCCTGTTAAAAATAATAAACGTCAGTTGCAAGTATTAAGCATTCCCTTAAGAAAAAAAGTTGCATTATACTCTGGGCGGCATGGAATTGGTGCAGAAAAGTTGAGAGCCTTGTGCAGTTTAAAAATTGAAGTAAATAAAAATTATGGAGTCCTAGTTAAATCTGAAGAAATAAATGCAAGTGAAAATATAATTCTTCAACTAGATATTACAGAAGAAAGTATTGAATGGATTATGTTAGACAACAACCTACCTGTGATACCACAAACTGAAATTGATACTATTGAAAACAATGATATGCTGACAGATATTAGTATCAATGCTGCCCAAAAAATTCTTTTGAATCAGTTTCATATGCAATCTGGGTTTCAAGATACAATTTTAGGTGAAAAATATATGTTTCGTGAGGAAAAGAATGATTTTGTTCAAGTATTATATACTGGGTAATATCATTGGATTACCATTTCTAATGTGAATTGTCCAGCAGACACAATTTTCTACTATGACAGTCTTTTCCATTGCTAAATAAAGGATCATGTTAAGCAGCAATTATGCAATATATACAAAACAAAAGGGAAAATATCAACTATCCATGTACGCAATTGTCAACAACAAACTAATGGTGTGGGTTGTGGTATATTTGCAATTGCTAATGCATTAAACATACTTCACAAATTTGATATTAGAGCTTTATCTCTAGACAAAGACAAAGTTAGAAAACATTTTATTGAATGCATTAAAAAAAGACATTTTTCTGCCTTTCCAGTTTGCCAACCAAAATCACGTTTCAATGAAGAAAAAATAATAACTTTAGAAATTTCTTGCTCATGCCGTTCAAATTGGGTATGATATCATGCAAAAAATACTATTCTTCATATGGTACAGTGTGATATGTGCAGCGAATGGCACCATAAAAAATGTGAAAATATATCTGATGAGATATTCAATAAAATTAATGCTGAAAAGTCATGGATTTGTTTAGCTTGTAAAAAAAAGAATTGTTTTCTCCAACATAAATGAAAAATTAGTTATAAATCAAACATTAGTCAAAATGTTAAACAGTTTTTATTTTATCTAATCTAAAAAAAATATTTATTAATGGACAAACAGCCCTAATCAAAAATGCGAAATTTGATAAATCTGTACTAATTTAGTAAGTTATAAACTATTTAGACAGTATTTTTTTTCATTTCTAAAAAATATAGTTTTAAAAACAGCTATAGAAATTAGTTGTTTTAAATATAACAAAATTTTATAGACTTTATAAGTATATAAATTTTATAGACTTTATAAAGACAAATCTTTATAGACTTTTATTATTTAAAATATGCTTTTCCTATTTTTAAATATATATGGTTAAAGACAACTAGCAACTACTTTATATTTTTGTATAATATGTGTTTGCACATATTATACATAAGTTTTTAAAATTGTTATTTATGAGAATATTTGTGGCAACCCCCTTAATGTGTTGTGAATAACAGAATGAGACGGGAATTTAAATATAAGCATGGAAAGAAGCTGCAAGTTGTCTTAACAATATAGTTTAACTGAGTTTGTAGATTTATTAATAGACTCGAAATAAACAAAGAATAATTTTTGAATGCTTTTTATAAATTCATTTTTAGGTCAGCTTTATCTGGTGAATGCCTAACAGCTCACAATTATTAATTATTACAGGAACTATAAAAATAAATGTAAGGAAAAACCAAGTATATAAAATAATGTCAAGCTCATTGGTAAGTTACTATATGTATGTTTGTTTTCTGTTTAAACTTCTGGCGCTGTTGGCTCACCCAAAAATTACTGTATGTTTATTTGTGTTCATTTTAAACCACTTGCACAATGTTGGCTCACTCGTAAGTTACTCTTTGTTTGTTTGTGTTCTGTTTGAACCTCTAACGCAATATTGACTCAACCTTAAGTTACTGTATTTTGTTTGTGTTCTGTTTAAACCTCTGGCATAATATTGACTCACTAATAAGTTACTATATGTTTGTTTATATTCTATTTAACCCTCAAGTGCAATATAGACTCACCCATAAGTTACTGCATGTATTTTTGTGTTCTGTTTAAACCTCTAGCGCAATGTTGACTCCCCTGTAAATTATTCTATGTATGTTTGTGTTTAGTTTAAACCTCAGGTGCAAAATTGACTCACTCATATGACAGATTATAAGCATACTAATTGTATGTTTATAATCTGCTTAAACCTCAAGCACAATATTTACTCACATTTAAATTACGGTATGTATGTTCGTGCTCTGTTTAAACCTCTGGCGCAATATTGACTAACACGTAAATTACTATATTTATAATTGTATTTAGTTTAAACCTCAAGCGCAATTTCGACTCACATGTAAGTTACTGAATGTATGTATGTTTGTGTTCTGTTTAAACCTCTAGCGCAGTGTTGACTTATCTGTAAGTTACAATATGTTTGTTTGTGTTTTGTTTAAACCTCTGGCGCGGTGTTGACTCACCCGTAAGTTGCTATATGTTTGTTTGTGTTCTGTTTAAACCTCTGGCGCGGTGTTGACTCACCCGTAAGTTGCTATATGTTTGTTTGTGTTCTGTTTAAACCTCTGGCGCGGTGTTGACTCACCCATAAGTTGCTATATGTTTGTCTGTGTTCTGTTTAAACCACTAGCGCAACGTTAACTCATCCATAAGTTACTGTATGTATGTTTGTGTTCTGTGGAAACCTCTGACGTGATAATGGCTCAGACATTAGTTACTATATGTTTGTTTGTTTGTTGGTTTAAACCTCCTGCACAATGCTGACTTACACATAAGTTATTGTATAATTGTTTGTGTTCTGTTAAAACCTCTGGCGCAACATTCACTCACTAGTAAGTTACTGTATGTTTGTTATGTTCAGTTTAAAACTCAAGCGCAGTATTGTCTCACCAGTAAGTTACTGTATGTATGTTTGTTCTGTTTAAGCATGGTGTTGACTCACCTGTAAGTTACTGTATAATGTTTTGTGTTCTGTTTACCTCTGGCGCAATGTTAACTCACTCATAAGTAACTATATGTATGTTTGTGTTCTGTTTAAACCTATGCCGTGATGTTGATTTTTGTTTGTTTGTTTTTATTTTACTTCACCTCCTTGAGGCCGAGAAGGCCACTACAGACGAGGAGGCTACTTATTTTGTGGCTATAATCTCTCTCAACTCTATAACTCCGAAACACAAACCTTGACGAACAAGGCCTCTGCGTGGAGAAACGAGTTGAGCGCGATACTTCCAGGGACGTGGTGGGGATCGAACTCGGAACCACTCGTTTATGAAGTGAGCGCTCTACCACTACACCATTACCGCATGATTTAGCTTTTAGTTACTGTATGTTTGTTTGTGTTCTGTTTAAACCTCTGGTGGTCTGTTACTTTAGTGGCTCTCCAGTTAGTCCACTAAAATACATCCACTGAAAATACACTTTTTAGATAAAGTGCTCTATATGGAGCTATCTTTTTCTGATGAAGTAATACTTATAGAAGTAACTTGCACATTTTCGTTTTCGTATATTACTCTACTCTGTTTTAAAGATGTTGCAAATTTACAATTTTGCGCCCATTATTACACACCTGTGTGGCTTAGTTGTCTATAATGTTATTCGTTTTCAACTGAATACTTTTTAGATTTTTATTGTATCTTATGTTTGTGTTATAACTGTTAACAGTGAAAGAACAATTACAGTAAAAGAATGCGACTTTGCAAAATGATGATTTTGCAATGATAAATACAATCATGCTTACTGCTTATCAAAATGATAAGCAGCAAGCATGATTGTATTTTTCGAAAAGAGTAATAGACTTATTGTCTATGGGGCTATTAAGGCTAAAGATTCGGAGCTTGATTTGGTCCAACTACATTTGTAATGCGTTTTTTAAATTTGTCTGAATAATAAAGGGTATCATTAGAAGAATCAGTCTAATAATGACAACAATTTTCCATACAATAAGAAATAGGTTGTGCATACACTTTTCAAATATAAGCGAAGAATTAGATTTATAGTTTCCATTAGTGGTGAATAGTAAAAGGTAATCAAAAAGAACATAAACGAGAAAACTCTGTAAGAGTGTGTCCATTTATCAAAATAGGCATATCAACAATATTGATATAATTATTAGAAGCAAACATCTGAGTTAAAAAGCTTGGGTTGAAATTTTCTAATCAAAATGAGCCCTAAACTGTCATAGAAGAGAAATCACATTTGATATAGACTGTTTGCAAACCTTGCATTTGAATTTTTCTAGAAGGTTGACATCTAAAGTTTATTATCATATCCAAAGTTTTCTTTTTCAACTTTTAATATATTTAAAAGTTTGTGCTCTTTTTTTTAGAGTTTTTTTAAAGTCCATTTTTATTTCACTCCCTGTTCTTTTATGTTCAATTTTATTAATAGAAACGAGAATGTGCAAGAATAAGCAGTTTGCTAATTGATTGTGTATTTTTCTATCATATGCTTTCAATCGTTCTGCATTAAAAAAATCGTACATGTGAATAGGAAGGAACCTTGACGTGGTTCATGTGCTTTAAAACAAATACCTTCCAGACAGAAACTTTCTGATACCTTGTGTGTGAGTAGTATTTTTATTTTGGTAGTAATTAAAATTAAAAATATATAATAAAATAAAATTAAAAATATATAATAAAATAAAATTAAAGTATAACTTTTATTAAAAACTCTTGGTCTTTCCACAAGCAAGCGCTTATATTTTTGTTATGTTTTATAATATACTAGTTTTAATGTTATACTATATATAATATATATAGTATTATATTAAAACTAGTATATTATAAAAATAGATAAAGTTTAGGCGCTTGCTGGTAAAAAGTGCAAGAATTTTTAATAGAAGGTATACATTAATTTAATTCTGCTTCCAAAAGTATGCGCGACTTTAATTCCAGTTTTATATCCATTCATTTTAATTTTCAAATGAGTGAATTATGAAAGTTTTTTTTAACGTCATACATATTTATATTATTTTTTAATTTTTATTTTTGTTTATATTGTGTTATCATTTTAAAGTATTGTTTTATATAATACTTACAAATTATCATTAAATTAATCATTTTTAAGTGTTTGATAAGTGCTTAAAAAGTATTCAATTGCATTTGCGTTTTTTCCTATTCAATCCCGGGATTTCCCATGGACAAATTTCTCAATCCCGAAATTCCGGGATTGAAAATTTCCGGGATTTTTGCCATCTCTAGCTGAAATACAGAAATACTGTCTTCATTTGTCTGTCAGATATTGTCTTCATTTGTCTTCATTTGTCATATTGTCTTCATTTGTCTGTCAGACAGAAATATTGTCTTCATTTATTAATGTATTTTTTAGTAATACTAATGTAATAGGAACTTAAAAAGTTTTAATTTATAATGAACATGTATTTACTTTTTAACAGTTGGTTTATATAAACTAGGAAGAGATTTAGCAACGAGACGCGGACAACATTTGACAACGGTGTTTGTTACGAACACGTCGTTTGACTAAAGCCATTTAGCATTTGTTTCGCAACACGTGCCTAAAAACCGTTATCAACAATGATGGCTATATTCTGCTTGAAATCTGTAGGAAGTTTAGTTTATTTAGGATACGCTGAAGATTTAATAGATATTTATAAATGAGTTGAACGATTCCCATGAACCATATCCATATTGGAAATATGATAGGTTTGATTTAAATACTAGGTACAATGATGTACAATGTAAAATTATTGTTTTTGGCTTCTCAGAAAAAATTGTAAATGCACATTGAACTACATGCAGTGGTATAGAAAAACCTTGCACTTTGCTAAAATGACTTGCTTTTTAATGTAAATAACGGGAGAGGAGATATTAGTTACACAAAAATCAAAGCTTTGTATTTAAAAAAAAATCTAAAGCAAAAATTTTTTAATTTTTTTTTTAAATTAATACAATATTTATTTTAACAAAATTATCTTTTATAAACCGATCCCTTGTTGGCTATTATTCTCGATTTTGTCTTGATACCCTTCATAAGTGATTGTAAAAATGTTGTACTAATTTTCAATTCAAACACGCATTGATACATCTAATCAATTGTTGTGAACTGTGGCCTCCCATCCACCCTCATATACATTCTGAGTCAATACTCAGAAGTCTCAATAGACCGGGCTTTGGGGACATTATGAGGGTTCATATCAACCGGTACGAAATTGATATTTTTATCCATCCAGGATATGGCCTCATTAGGCCTATTAACACTAGCTAAATCTGGCCAAAAAATGTAACTTAAGTACCTTGATGATACTCATAGATGAATGCTCTAAGGCTTTCCTCTAAGCATTCTTCGATATAAATGCTTTATTTTTTTGCAGCCGATGTTGTTGACCGAAAGAATGCTTTCGACACGCTCAGATAGTGCTATCCAAACAAGTAATTTTTTTTTCAAAAATTTTCTATTCCTGCAAAACGAACATTTTTAATATAATGATTGATTTTACGTATAAAAACTTTTGTCAATGATGATGTTACAGGTTAGGGAATTCTTAGGCTTCCAATTAATCAGAGTGTTGTTTATAATGCTCATAAGGAAAAACATGTCTTCAAATACTATAATTTAGAATGCAAAGTTAACTCCAGACCAACTTACTTATAATTAAGCTATAGGCTGGGTGAATTTAAAAAAATTAAAATTCTTTTTCTAAGTAATTAATCAGTTTTACGTAAAAACAAAATATCAGCAATTTTCCTTAAATTTTTATTTGCTTAAAGCTGAATATAATTTGGAAGCTGGTATAATGACGAAATAAAACTAGCTAACCCTCCCTGACATATAGGTCAATTTAGATTAAATACTAAAAAGGGATATTTTACAGC